GATTTCTAAGTCTGCTTGTTAGTACACTGATAAGTGTACTAAAAATAGGTGACATAGGTCAGGGTTGGGACGTAGATGGACTAGTAAATCGAGAGCTTCGCCTTGCGGCTCAGCTCCCTCTTCACCACGACAGTTCGATACAGCACCCGCATTACTGCTGACACTGCACCATTTTCCCATCACTTGTGAACAAGATCCCGAGAGACTTAAACTCCCTTGCTTGGGGAAGCTGCTCCCACCCCCACCTGGAGGGAGCCATCCACTGGCTTCTGGCCGAGGACCATGGCCTCGGACTTGGAGGTACTGATCCACATTCCCGCCGCTTTGCACTCGGCTGCAAACCACTCCGGTGCGTGCTGAAGGTCATGGTCTGATGAAGCCATCAGGACCACACTGTCCACAAAAAGCAGAGACGCGATCCTGAGGTCCCCAAAGCAGACACCCTCCTCACCCCGGCTGCACCTTAAAATAATGTCCATGATCACCACAAACAGTATTGGAGGCAGCCCTGGCGGAGCCCAACACCCACTGAGAACATGTTTGACTTTTTGCCAAGAATGTGGACACAGCGAGTGAGCCTGGTACCCCATACTCCCTCAGTACCCCCCACAGGGCCCCTCAGTGAACATGGTTATAGGCCTTCTCCAAATCCACAAAAACATGTAGACTGGCTGGTCGAACTCCCATGTCCCCCTCAGCAGCTCCGCAAGGGTAAAGAGCTGGTCCACTGTTCCACGACCAGGATGGAATCCGCATTGCTCCTCCTGAATCCAAGGTTCGACAAATGGTCGGAGCCTCCTTTCCAGCAACCGAGAGTAAACTTTCCTGGGGAGGCAGAGAAGTGTGATACTCTGGTAGTTGAAACACACTCTCCAGTCCCCCTTTTGAAAATGGGAACCACCACCCTGGTCTGCCACTCCACAGGCACTGTAAACGACTCCCACGCAACACTGAAGAGACGTGTCAGCCATGGCAGTCCAACAATGTCCAGAGCCTTTAGCATCTTAGGGGGAATCTCGTCCACACCTGGCACCTTGCCACAAGGAGTTTTTCATTACATCGGCGACCTCTGCCACAGATATGGACACAGAAACCCCCAAGTCTTCAGGCTCTGCCCCCTCGGCAGAGGACGTGCTTACCGGGTTCAGAAAGTGCTCCTTCCACTGCCCGACAAGGTCCCCAGTCTGGGTCAGCAGTTCTCCTCCCCGACTGTACACAGCCTGGGAAAATCCCTGCCTCCCCTTTCTGAGGCGTCGAACGGTTTGCCAGAATTTCCTCGAGGCTAGCCGAAAGTCCTTCTCCATAGCCTCCCCTCTCCCTTTAGCTTCCGCAACCGCTGCAGCTGCAGCCCTTTTGGTCAACCAGTAGCTGTCTGTTGCTTCAGTAGACCCCCAAGCCAACCAGGCCTGAAAAGTCTCCTTCAGTTTAATGGCTTCCTGGTGTCCACCAGCAGGTTTTGGGGTTGTTGCCACAACAGGCACCAGCAACCTTCTGGCCACAGCTCCGAACGGCCGCTTCTGCAGTGGGGGCGTTGAACATGGCCTAGTCCGACTCCATGTCCCCAACCTCCCCCGAGATGCAGGAGAAAGTCTTCCAGAAGTGGTAATTGAAAACCCCACGGACAGGGGCCTCCGCCAGACATCCCCAGTTCACCCTCACTACACGTTTGGGTTTTCCAGGTCTGTTTGGCATCCTTCTCTGCCATC